CCACATCTCATCTGATGGCTGCCCCTGAATTTTGTTATTGAGAATGGTCTTTATTTAAATGTGACAATCATATAAGGAACAGGATGATCCCGTAGCTATCTGTGTGAGAAAGCCTTCACGTGATCAGCTGACCTGATCTTCCATGTGTCAACCTGTTGATTAAACAAGTTCTAAATGCGAGTCACCTGAGGATTGAATGACCGCTGATGGAGGGATGTTCTTGAGAAAGGCACTGCCAACATGAAGCTGTTGATGGCTGAAAGCCTTGTATCACAGGTGCCAACTACTGGTTGTCCACGAAGTTGAGACAGGTGCGGAACTTTGAAGATATTGGCTCTGTACATAACAGTAAGTGTTCCCAACATCATGACGGTGCTGGAGGCTGTTCAGACAGTTTCCTTAGGCTTGTATGGGAATTGTTCATGTTCAGATTTTCAATGTTCTCTTAGGCTTGTTCCAAGGCCGCCCCCCCTCCCCCCCCACCCCAAGGCCAAACTACTGACCCTCCCACAGATGCCACCCCTCAACAGTTCCCTTACTCCCGGGTACCCTTTTACTGCAAGGTGAACAGAGACATTAGGTGAAAGGGATTGTGTGCCCAACGTGTGGGTGGGAATGTGTGTGTTGTGCTGTCAGGGAATCGAACCGGGATCACCCCCTATTGTGAGTTGTGAATGAAGCCTACTGTATAGGCCATGTTTGTCACATATCTTTTTTGAAGTATCCTCCACTACCTTCCTCTCTTTCCCAAGCATTTTTCTTCTTCCTCCATCTTCTCTTATTTTTTCTTTGATTTTTTTCTGTTTTCCTCACATTCCATCTCTTTCTTTTTCTGTCATATTACTCCTTCTCCCTCCCTTAACGCTTTCTCTTTTCTTTATTTTTCTCTGGCTGCCTATCCTCTCTCTTCCTCTCCCTCTCACATATCTTTCTCTTCCTCGTTTTCTTCTCTACTCCTTCCACCGACTCTGTTATCTCTCCCTCTCTGTTATCTCCCCTCCTTCCCTCTCTCCCTTCTCGGTTTTTATCTCCTCCCTCCCTCTCTATTCCCCTCCTTACCTCTCTATCTCCCTTCCCTTATCTTCACCTCTTTGTCGCCAAAATTTCCTCATTGTACCTTACAACAGTTCTTTCTTTAGTTTCAGTTCAGTTGCCCCTTCCTCTTCCCCTTCTTCTTCCCCTTCCTCTTCCCCTTCTTCTTCCCATCCTCTCCCCCATCCCACACATTTATCTCCGCCAATGGGACATGCTTAATGTTTCGAAGTGCGTCACCTTGGCACCAATAACAAGCTCAAATCAATTTACAAAAACAGATATTCGCGTTTTGATTGGCCCGGCCGGATACAGAAGCAACGCATTTGCACTTGCACATCAGCTCAGCCGTAAACAGGAATGGACTCTTTCTCGTAAACCCAGATTGGTGCGTTGTTTTAGCGCTGAGTCGCGAGCAGCGAAGAATTTGTGCCGTTAAATAAATCTGACTTATATAGAGAATGCATGAGAGGCATTTGAGGATTTTAATCATTCAGAAGGACAGGGATATGGTCTCTCTCTCTCTGTCTCTCTCTCTGTCTCTCTCTCTGTCTCTCTCTCTCTCTCTCTCTCTCTCTCTCTCTCTCTCTCTCTCTCTCTCTCTCTCTCTCTCTCTCTCTCTCTCTCTCTCTCTCTTACTCTCTTACTCTCAAAAAGTAACAAAAACAAGATAGATATATGTGTTTCTTCTGATACATTATCTACAAAATGCCGTTTCAGAAGAGCAGCTCTGTGTGTGTTGGGACACCTGTAGCAGCATCTAATGTATGGTTTCAACACCTGCTTCATCATTTAATGTATAGTAAGAACAGCAGCTTCATCATCAAATAATGGTTAGGACACTTGTGTCAAACTTAACTCTAATTTATTACTTTATTACTCTCTAATGTATTACTCTCCTTATTACTCTCTAATTTATTACTCTCTAATGTATTACTCTCCTTATTACTCTCTAATTTATTACCTCTGTATTACTCTGTAATTTATTACTCTACAAATTTACTCTCTAAACAATCCTCCCCATCAGAAAAAAAGCTGGATTTTCTCCAAAGCACAACAACTACTTTTGGAGGCGATGAGTCACAATAACGTGGCTGAAGTATGTTGACCAGACCACACACTAGAAATTGAAGGGACGACGACGTTTCGGTCCGTCCTGGACCATTCTCAAGTCCAAACTTGAGAATGGTCCAGGACGGACCGAAACGTCGTCGTCCCTTCAATTTCTAGTGTGTGGTCTGGTCAACACTACTTTTGGAATTAAAGACCTTTGTAAATAGTATGACTCATGGGAACTACAATTAAACTTTTCGACGAAATCTCCCAGCCTGGCCCGACACTTCCAATTACGAGGCAAGAGGAGAATTACCGTTTCCAAATGCCTCTAGGCCTGTTCAGGACTTTTAAACAAGCGGTTGTTTTGGTAAATAACGGCCCTGCTCTATCGACAATTAAACCTAGCGTAACAATGGGGGGTCGTTTTATCTGGCAACCCTGAATGGCCCTTTAACTTCGCCAGTCCGACTTGGTAACTGTGTGGGAAAAGATAGTTGGTGATACATAGGTGAAAGAGGAAAAATGTGACACGAAGGTAAAAGATGGAAAAGAGAGAGAGAGAACGAAGGGGAGAAGAGAGAAGGGAGAGGGTGAAGGGGATGAGGAAATGAGAGAGGACAATATTCAGGGAGCATCACAAACACACGGACATACATTTCCATCCAAATTATCCAAAGCGAATAACCCAAATATCTACACAGGCAGCAATATGTAAATTCACACAACCCGTTTACTCAAGCATACACCCATCCACAGATACCCCACATCCACACCTGTAGCCATCTACCAGGACCCACAATCATCCCACCTACCCAAGCACACACCTAGGTAGAAAAGTGCATGTACCCATCTACACAAAGTCTCCAACGCCATCTCGCCCACGTTCCCCACACCAACACCCACACTCCCACACCCACACTGCTACACCCACACTGCTACACCCACACTGCATGCTCTCACACACTCAAAAACCCATAGTTCTACACCACACTCCCACACCCACACTGCTACACCCACACTGCATGCTCTCACACACTCAAAAACCCATAGTTCTACACCACACTCCCACACCCACACTGCTACACCCACACTGCATGCTCTCACACACTCAAAAACCCATAGTTCTACACCACACTCTCACACCCACACTGCTACACCCACACTGCATGCTCTCACACACTCAAAAACCCATAGTTCTACACCACACTCTCACACCCACACTCCCACACTAACTCTCCCATACTCAACAGAATATAATCGTAAAGGACATATAACTACAATAAAGCAAAATAAATGAACAAAGAATCATTTAAAACATATTTATTTATATATAAAAAATACATGATATCTAGCTGATATTATTTTCCTGTACTAATACATGGTGGAAGGAAAAGAGAGATTACCTACGGCTGTTTAAACAAGTAAACATACACTGCGAGATATACTCTGTGAGAAGTATACACGGTGGGGACAGAGTACACTATGAGCAGTATATATTGTGAGCAATGGTCATTGTCATCAGCACTCATCTCAATATATATATATATATATATATATATATATATATATATATATATATATATATATATATTATATATATATATATATATATATATGTCGTACCTAGTAGCCAGAACTCACTTCTCGGCCTACTATTCAAGGCCCGATTTGCCTAATAAGCCAAGTTTTCCTGAATTAATATATTTTCTCGAATTTTTTTCTTATGAAATGATAGAGCTACCCATTTCATTATGTATGAGGTCAATTTTTTTTATTGGAGTTAAAATTAACGTAGATATATGACCGAACCTAACCAACCCTACCTAACCTAACCTAACCTATCTTTATAGGTTAGGTTGGGTTAGGTAGCCGAAAAAGTTAGGTTAGGTTAGGTTAGGTAGGTTAGATAGTCGAAAAACAATTAATTCATGAAAACTTAGCTTATTAGGCAAATCGGGCCTTGCATAGTAGGCTGAGAAGTGAGTTCTGGCTACTAGGTACGACATATATATATATATATACCTGTTAATACAGTCTCTCTCTAAAAGGACTTTGACACTGGAGGTTCGTTGTGTGATATGTGTTTAAATATATATACATAAAATTTCCCATCATCACGCTTCATCCTCATAACAAAGGTGACCTTTGTGCGTTACGGAGCCTTTGGCTACTGTTCTACAGACTTTATATTTAATTAAAAAGTAGTTATTCGTAAATAATATTCTTTACTAATGCAACTTGCCTAATAAGCCAAGTTTTCATGAAATAATTGTTTTTCGACTACCTAACCTACCTTACCTAACCTAACCTAACTTTTTCGGCCACCTAACCTAACCTAACCTACTAAGATAGGTTAGGTTATGTAGGGTTGGTTAGGTTCGGTCATATATCTACGTTAATTTTAACTCCAATAAAATTTTTGTTACCTCATACATAATGAAATGGGTAGCTTTATCATTTCATAGGAAAAAACTAGAGAAAATATACTAATTCAGGAAAACTTGGCTTATTAGGCAAATCGGGCCTTGCATAGTAGGCTGAGAAGTGCGTTCTGGCTACTAGGTACGACATATATATATGTATATATATATATATATATATATATATATGTCGTACCTAGTAGCCAGAACGCACTTCTTTGCCAACTATGCAAGGCCCGATTTGCCTAATAAGCCAAGTTTTCATGAATTAATTGTTTTTCAACTACCTAACCTACCTAACCTAACCTAACCTAACTTTTTCGGCTACCTAACCTAACCTAACCTATAAAGATAGGTTAGGTTAGGTTAGGTAGGGTTGGTTAGGTTCGGTCATATATTTACGTTAATTTTAACTCCAATAAAAAAAATTTACCTCATACATAATGAAATGGGTAGCTTTATCATTTCATAAGAAAAAAATTAGAGAAAATATATTATTTCATGAAAACTTGGCTTATTAGGCAAATCGGGCCTTGCATAGTTGGCTGAGAAGTGCGTTCTGGCTATTAGGTACGACATATATATATATATATATATATATATATATATATATATATATATATATATATATATATATATATATATATATATATATATATATCAGTAATTCCTGTTCCTAATATAATACATATAATAGATTATTCTTCTTGGGAAAAAAAAATCACTTTGGAAACAAATATTGGAAAATAACGAAAATGATTTGTCCTCTTAGGCAAACAGGCTGAATCATTCTCTCTCTCTCTCTCTCTCTCTCTCTCTCTCTCTCTCTCTCTCTCTCTCTCTCTCTCTCTCTCTCTCTCTCTCTCTCTCTCTCTCTCTCTCTCTCTCAACACGCAATAAACGCCCCCAACAAGCACATACAATATAAGCAACAATATTTCTCACTATTCTTACTTAGATGAAACTTTGTAACAACATTCAAGATACGTTATGTGTGATGAACCGCCAAAGTGCTGACGAAAACTCTATTGAAAATCCAACCTCATTTCAGACTTCATAGAAATCGTTGGTGTCGCTAGAGACGTTTAGGTCGTTAGGGTCGTTGGAATTACTTGGGTCATTGGGGTCCTTGGGGTCGTTTGAGTCAATGGAGTCGTTTGAGTGGAGGTAGTTGGAGTTACTGGAGTCGTTGAGGGGGTCGTTGAAGTCGTCTGCAAGGCTTACCTATTTTCTTCATTTTTAATCTCTCCAATTATGTGAAATTCCATTTAAATTAATTTCTCTCGTGATTTCTTGATGAGGAAACTGGGACCACTAATGAACCAAGCGCACGAACGTTACTCAATAATAATTAATTCTCAAGGCAAATGCATAATTATTCTGAAAAGACAGTTAAACAGGAAATCCCTCTGTGGACTGCACGAAGTTCTAAATAAATCCTGGTGTAATCCTTATTGCGAATTATGCTGTGTATTACAATGCAGTTTATTTTTGTTCTGGTTGTATTATTTACTAATTTATTTTATTGCATCTAATTTTTATTGTCCCTATTTGTTAGTGTTCTTTATTGCTATTTTTCATTTTTATCTTATTGGTTTTTTTCCTAGTATTTGCTTTGCTCTATTGGGAAAGGTTTTCTCTAAAGAAGTCAATGAGAGAACTGTTTTATGTGAACACAGGTAAGGAGGATCACAGGTGGATTACAGGTTAATCACAGGTGGATCACAGGTTAATCACAGCTAGATTACAGCTGGATCACAGGTGACCACAAGTGAACATATGTGAATCACAAGTGCATTAATCTCAGATCGTATGTTAAACTTTTCTCAAGTGACATTGACCGCAAGTGTGGTGGATCGAAGTTGAGATATATCACAGGTGAGATTGACCACCTGTGATCCACCTCTTTCTCTCCTGAGTTTCACATTCTCTTTAATTCATGGTTTATCTTATATGTCAGTTATACAGCCCAGGAGGCTACTGTTGTGGTGATAAAACAATAACCACAATTTACTACTAATAAAGTAGTAAAGTACTATTTATAAAGTGATTACACAGGCTCCTTCTCTGCTCCTACACAGACTTTACTTTCAGGTTTAACAATTGATTTTGATGTGGAACAATATCCTTATACATTAATATTTGATCAGTTAAATGTTATACATCATCTTTGGAAATATTTCCGTTTCTTACGAGAGACGATGTGACAGTAGACAATAGAGACAATAAAACTCATTTATAGTTATAAATGAGTTATATTTGGCTACTGAATTGGTGTTTTTTTTGTGAACGGAAATAGGTTTTGTCCAAATTTCAAATGCGCTCAGGTTTAACTTAATATTTTAATCTTTAATAAGTGTTTGAGATGCTTTCACAACGCGTGCTTCACACACACACACACACACTCACACACACACACACTCACACACACACACACACACACACACACACACACACACACACACACACACACGCACACACACACACACACACACACACACTCTTTAATTGCTTCTTTTTGCGCGATTATCAGCGAGTTTATAGTTTCTGCTCCAGAAATTGCAAATATTGCAAACAAACATTAGGAGTTGCACGTGGCGCACTCTGCAGTAACAGCTTCTCAAGGCTAACTGCGCACGCAAATGTGCTCTTCGTGGAACCAGTATAATGACTTCTATAAAATTTTGAACCAATTTCCATGTGTCGAAGAGCATATCCGATCAGACTAATTTCAGGATGCTGAAATTTTTTGAATATCGTGTTTAATTTTCTATAATATTATTTTCAATGTTCAACGACTTGTTAGTATAATTTGGATTATCTGAAAAGTGCATCAGTCCCAAACTTCGAGACTCAGACTGTAGAGAATGTTAATGGTGAAGACTATGGATTACTTTACGTCTTCCCCAAATCACTTCAGTGTGCTTCACGTTGCTTGAACTCCTCTTAAATAACGTATAATGCCTTTGGCCAAAGCCTTTAAACGCTTTATAGCGGCAGAAGAGAGGCGAGTGATTCCTGTGCCAGTCGCCGTTTCAATGCAATGACGGGTCGTTTCTTGCTAAGAGAAGAGGCACATGAAAGTCGTCTCGTCGTTGAAACTGTCCGTTGATTCGTCGAAGGGGAAGACGCCTCATCAGAGTCTCCTGCCTACGAGCTCGCTCTCAAGAAGAGGTTTCGGTAGTTCTTTCGATAAGCGATGTAGTAAATCAATTGCTGAATATTTCGAGTATTTTCACTCTTAAATTGAACGCATTTTGATTCAAACTCTTGAATGCATTTACTCTCATTGCGTCCTGTGAGGAGGAATAGTCGTGATTCGTGTGGCTTCTTATGTCACTTACTATAAAAAAAAATTAGAAAAGGCTGTTACAGAAAAAGATGGCCTCAGCTGTCTTGATACAAAAGATTTTGTATTCTTGTTATATAAACTTATTGTACAAGACGATTATGGCAAGACATTTATACAATTTCTTGTAAAATGCACAATACTTAATGAACTTTATCAAGATTCCATTCAGCCGGTACTGAAAGCCAGTATGAATCTACTGTTGTTGTTTCAATAAGCATCTCCATTATGTGCTTCGGAATCTAAAGCATATATAATCACCTGTACAGCTTGCAGGTTCTACCTGACAGCTGTACAGATTATAAAGATATATTCCATCTGCAGGGAACATACAGCAGTTGACTATAAGGAAGAATACCAACAATGCATTAGTAAGCATTCATAACACTTGTGTAATAATGAGTATTACATAGCCTAATGGTCGGAATTGTGTCCCTTTGTTGCTAAAATAAATAATATAGCATGGAGCAGTCACTCCACTAAGGGCAGGTGAGGTGACTCGAATTAAACAACTCTGGAGAGGGTTGA